TTGATATACTGGTATTTCTACCTACAGTTTATTTATATTCTTGGGCCAATACATTTTATCCTTATCTTATCTCTTTTTTTCCCTAATCTTTTACTAATCTTTTCTTATCGTATACTCTATAACAGTCTGTTTTTGTTTTTGTTTTGTTTTTTATTTCGAGCGCGGACACAGCACAGGGATTCCGATTTTGGCCCATGGTGGTGGATAGTGGGTAGTGGGTGGCCGCTGCCCGTTCCGAAAGCCAGACCAGGCAGCGTGCGTCGCGACGGTGGGGAGTAGCAGCAGCAGCCCCAGAGAGCAGGAGACGGACGAACCCCGCTCCGCGATCAGCTGTGCTAACCGCGAGACACACGGTACACACACGCACGCACGCACACACACACAAACACACACATTTCTCCACCGGCGCCCTACACCACCACCACCACAGCCTCGTGTATACATGCTCGCTTCTCCCTCCCTCCCTCCCTCCCTCTCTCTTTCTCTCTCTCTCTCTCTCCACCTTCTCGGAGACGGTGTGAAGTCTTGTGTGCAGTTTGAAGTAAGTCGCTGCGTGCGTGTGGGGGGGAAACTATCTTTTCTACAGGACGGGACGACGCCCTCACATTATAGAATAGGTGTATGTATGCCTCTCATGTATTCATCAATGGTAACTTTGATGACAGTGCTGTGATTTGCTGTGAATGGATTTCAAAATCTGGGATATGATATTATTCGCAACATTTTCTTTGCAATGATTCACTTCTTGTCTTCTTCCTTTATCGTCTGGTGAAAATTCCTTGGAGGACCGAGTTAGGAGGAATTTTATTAAAGAATGCTGAGCAGGTAAGACAGTTAATTTCTTGCGAAGCGCATGATCCTTTCATCCCACAAAAACACGCACTGTCACCGCAGAGAGATCTAGAGAACTAGATCAAGATCTAGAATCTATACTATTTGGCTATAATAATTAATAAAATGATGGGGATAATCCGTTCTTGGCCCCAGCAAAGAGTACTAGAGAGTGGAATAGTACTTTAGTAGGGCCCTTAATGGTTAAGGGTAGGTGTTATGATAGGGTTAGGGTAGAAGTATTTACAGTATACTGTGTGAGATCATTTTAAGTTTAGGTAGAACCTGAATAAGAATAGGGTAGGGGGCGGGGTAGGGTAGGGGGCGGGGTAGGGTAGGGTTAGGGTGTGTAAGTAAGTTAAGTAGGGGTTGGTTGGTTGGGGTTGGGGTAGGGTTAGGAGTAGGGTTAGAGGAAGGCTGGGATAGGGGTTGGGGTAGGCCCTAGATCTAGGCTTTCTCAGAATGAGAAGGCCAAGGGTAGGCCCCTAGGGGTGGGTGTAGCGGTAGGACTTTAGTAGGAATGGTTGGGGTAGGGGTTGGCCTGGGGTAGGCCCTAGATCTAGATCTGGTGAGAAGGGCTCGGGTTGGCTCGCTCTAGGGGTGGGTGTAGCGCGATAGGACTTTGGGTAGGGGTAGGGGTAGCGATGGGGTACGGTTAAGAAGGGGTAGGGATCAGGGTACAATGGTTAGGGTAGGCTAGTAATCATTGAAACCAAAACCGGATTGTCTCGTTAGAATCTTTCCACTTGTGTGACGTTCTGAATACGGGGGTTGGAGTGAATGGATGGGAAAGAGTTGAAAATCACACTGATTTATCACTTAATTGTTCGGTCTATCGATAGAGATCGGCTTTTTTTTTACGTATGCACCCGTCTCTTGTCCACGTTTTATACTTCTTTTCTAGTTGTATTTTGCATGCTAAACACGAATATGGTCTTCACTTTTGCCTCAAATCAATAGTTGTACTGAGTTATTGATGTTTGAAAATAGTAAATTCAACAAAATGAGGGGTATTAACAGTTTAATTAGGTTCGCTAACTTCGAAAAATGCGCCATTTCAGCTCCCCACGAAACTGAGAATCTGACTCTCTTGAGATGCTGGGAGGTAAAGCGCTTCTGAAAATATACGCGCTTGCGGCTGGAAGGGTCAAAAGAGTTCCTCTCTGCATTTAGTGGACCCCATTTGTCACAGTCGGGTGTATCCAAACCTAGGCAGTGGCATGTAGTGTAGAGTAATTTTGAGTTCTTATAGAGTAATTTAGAGTTCTTGTAGAGTAATTTAGAGTTCCGCCGTAATAATCATGCATGGGAAAAAAATTAACATGCATCCACATCAAAACTGGGAGACCAGACCAGGTTAGAATAATGTAAATTTCAGGGTGAAAACGAAACAAAAAACACAAAAAACCTCTAGATCTAGCTAAACGATTGATGTTATCAAATGGAACCAAAATTTTCATTCAAATGGATCCAGTTTTGGGTAACGTCCATCAGATCCGTTTTGTGACATTCAGTTGATTTTGAACCCACACAAAAGCCTTTTTAGATAGTTCGTTAGAGACATAAAATAATGTATATATATATATTATATATATAATTTTTTTTTTTTTTTGCTTTTGTTGCCTTACATTTTGTTTTGTTTTGGTTTGGGGTTTCTTTTCAAGCGTTTCATTTAGCACTGTCGCTAATCGCAACGCGGTGTTGCAAATGGGCACTTCCTTTTAGGAGAATACAGCAGGACAATTCTCTCTTTCTCTCTCTCTCTCTCTCTCTCTCTCTCTCTCTCTCTCTCTCTCTCTCTCT